CTACGCTATTATCGTATGAGGGCGCTCTTGTAACTAGTAATCATAAACGAAAATTAACAAAATGACCATTTAAATACTGTTCGGTGCCAAGGGACGATATTCAGCCCGGGGAATGTTGAATGTTTGGTGAATTTTTTCAGGAAAAAAAGGATGAAAACCATAAATAAGCTGTATAGACTTAGCGTTAATTATTAGCATAAGTGTTCCTTGAAAGTATGAAAATACGGTTACTATCACCATAACGTTGACGGACTGACAGGGGTTATTGTTGAAGCGCTGAATGTGCAGCGAAAACGTTTCTGGTGAGTTTCACGTGTTGGCGCGATTCATGGTTAGATTAGCGTCGGAATTCAGTGGGGGTCATCGCCCTCCCCAAATCAAGCTGAAACCCTTGTATGTCAGCAAAATTTGTCTCTTAAAATGCAAGAAATAGCGTTTCGGGGGTCAAGATTTGAAAATTATGCAAATCCCCCTCCATGAAAAATTTCGTCCCAAACACCAAGAATAACTGAATGGAAAATGGACTCAGAAAATACAAATTGGGTTTTTCTCGGACATAGGAAATACTAATTTACCGGTAATAGAAATTCATGTTCATTAGTGAATACACCTTGTTACGCTCGTTTTTTTTTTCATACCCAGGTCTCCTTCCATAATCGTACAATCCGCTACGAGGTCAAAGGTCGTCTACATAAATTAAAATGGGTGTATGACGGCACGGCCTGGGATTTAGAGAGTGGTACAAGTGTAAAGGCAAGGCATTATCAAAGTCAACAAGGAGCCAAAGAGCACGCTGTACGGCAACTCATCGATGAACTGAAAAAGAAAGGAATTTTATAAGATGGCAATGCAAAGTTGTAATTTTTCAAAGTAATGTTTTCCGTTCACATTTTTCTTATAAAACACACTTACGTATTCTACATGTGTGTTACTGTGTTTAATATATTATTAATGTCAAGATAGATCTCACTATAATTATGTGTAGAGAACATAAACAATAGGTCGAATGCACCACTTGTGTACCAGATTTCCGGGAATATATTAAAATGTAAAAAAAAATGGGAAACAGACTACTGGCTGACACATGAATAGGCAACTAATCAAAGCACCGCTGTCTTTACATCGCATTGTATGCGACCTGTGCAGCTTGCGTAAAATAGATTTACGGTGGCCTGTAAAACAATACGCGATGACTGACACATTATGTGATGACTGGGCAAAATCCGCGGTGACTGACCAATTCTTTGATGACTGGCCAAAGTACGCGATGACCGACCAATTCAGTGATAACTGGCCAAAATCCGCGGTGACTGACCAAAATCCGCGGTGACTGACCAATTCTTTGATGACTGGCAAAATCCGCAATGACTGACCAAAATCCGCGGTGACTGACCAATTATATGATGACTGGTCAAAATCCACGATGACTGACCAATTCAGTGATGACTAGCCAAACTCCGCGATGACTGACCAAAATCCGCGGTGACAGACCAATTCTTTGATGACTGGCAAAATCCGCGATGAATGACCAATTATGTGATGTCTGGCCAAAATCCGAGATGATCAATTCCCGTGACATTTTTCGTATAATTTCTATGATGTTTTTTTATTAGTACAGAAAGTGACTAACTGTCTGTATAATATAACTGTAATGTCCAATTATCTACTAATATTATACTTATATATTGATACGTGACTCTTATGTAAAATTTACGATGTATTAATGACATAATGTCACATCCGGGTTATTTGAATAAAGGTGGGATCGAGGCTCCGGCACTTGACCGTTACACCAAGTCACTGTACACACTGTACGAAAGTTGTCTCCATGTACTACATTATAATAACTATTTATGAAATGAACATGACATGTGCAACAAGTATGAATGGAATTTTGGCAAAGAAAGAGATTTAACACGAACTCCAGATTCAACACATCACGGCTCACATGTTTGTTGAAGTTGTTCTTTCCGATTGAACTATATCATATGAAAAGTTGGCACGGTATTCCGCATACTAGTACGTTAATGATGTTAAAAACCGTTTTGTTTTAACTAATTATTGTCACAGCGGTGTTGAGGTTTTGAATAAAATACTGGCATATTAACAAAGTCAGATGTTAAGCTAGTATGTCCGGGATGCACAATCTCACTCCGTTTTCTTTTCTCAAGCAGTTTCCGCTTGTATTTTTAGCGTACTACCTTCACTGTGTTTGTAAGTGGATTAAACAGTTCGCAACAAAAAAATACGAGACAAATTAAATGAAATGAAAATTACGCAAAAAGTTAGAGATAGTGATGTGAGTACACGTGATGTAAGTACACGTGATGT